GAATATCAACTCATTCAGAGACTATCTTGGGGTTCCATCTCAGGCACCCAGCTCCTCTGCCCACAGCCTTATATTTCCCTGCCACCCTCCCCCCAACACTACATATAAGAGTTCAGAGGCTGAGCCCGATCTGACAGCAAACAGCCAAGTTCAAGATGAAAGCTCTTGGCCTGAGGTCAGAGTCAGCCAAGCACAGCATCCAAAACCGGAGGATTGTGTTTCTTTTAAACGCCAAGCTATAAATAGGGCAAGACCCCAGGAAAACACTTAGAAGCAACCATCATCACCTCCCTTGCCCCCTTCTATGGGACGCCCCCCACCCCCCACTAAAACCTTTCAGCACTTGCTCATTTCTGCCTGCAGTTCTTTATCACAGTGACCTTAAGGGCTCCAGTTAACTCTCCAAATGATTTAGTAAAAAATCCACTTTTAACTGTTAAAACTCTAATCAGGGCAGATAACTAAGATTTATCAATTTGAGAATTTTTTTTCTTGGCTGTTCTCAACTTCAAGCAGAAAATAAGCAAGAAACAAACAAACAAACAAAAAAACCCCAACAACAACAAAACAAAACAATACCAACAACAAAACACAACCAGCCAGTTCAAAAGGGATCACACTCTTCCCTTTCCTCTCAAAACCCAACTTCTCCCCTTTTCCACATCTGCAGGCCTGGTGGTGAGAGTTCAAGCCTGAAGTAATGAAGCAGAGGCCTCCACCATCGGGGATAAAAGATCCATTGTGCTCCCTTGCTTACAAAGGCAGTTAAGTGGACCAGTGCACTTCACAATTTCCAACAAGGCTTGAAACAAGAGGTTGTCATGTTAACCCTCCATTCTCCAAAATTCAAGTAATGAGCCCCATTCGAAGTATTTTGGTCAGATGTAATTTTACCAATGAATCCATGGGGGGGGGGGGGCAGTGTTTTGTTTTTTTCTTTGAAACTTTGGGAGGAGTGGTGTTAATAAGAGAATGTCAGGACCACAAAATTGGAATTAGCCTTACTACTCTACTACTGTGGACTCGAACACCCAGTGTAGTAAGAAGGGTCTAGAAAATAAAAGAGGAGGGATCAGGCACACTCAGAAAGACTTAGGGCAGGACAGTACAGTTTGGGGCTTAGGAAGGAAGGAGGCCTGAGTGATCCAAGAGGCTTCAGGGAACTGGAAAGCTATGTGAGCTGTCTAGGAAAACCCAGAGTTGGGAATGGGATGCCTCAGTGGAGAGCTGAGGGGGCCCCTCGTGCACACCAGCCAGAGCCACAGCCTAAATAAAGCCTGCAGCCTCCTTCCCCAGGCTGAGAAAGGGCAATAGCCTGCCTTCTGTTAGGCCCCACTTCCCCTTTCTTTTTCTTGCTAAACCCTCCTAATTCATCTTTCTCTCCAGCTGCCAATCTGAGCGCTGCGTATCTAATTCATTTTTGTGCTCTCAGCCCTCTGCCCAATGTCTGGCACAGTGGGGGCTTAATACAAGCCTGCTAAGACCCGTACACTTGGGAAGACAGCACGCTCTGATTTGAAATCTGACCCTGCACTATATGACCCCAGACAAGTTATATCATCTTTTCAAGCAGTATCTATAAAGGGGGGTGGTGGATGGTAGTCAGGACTAAGTTATGAATGGACAGGAGATGCAGATTCAAAATTTTGGCACATGGTGAGCTCTCAAATCCTTCCTTGTTTATGCTGACTGCACACAGGGGCTGTGTCTGTCCTCTCTTCACCCCATCCCTCCAATTTTGTTTTTTTGGGGTTTTTTTTTTTTGTGCTTCCAAGTAGTGGGGTGGGTTGGTCTGTTGCTCACTTCAGTAATAGGAGGTGCCAGGTCACCCAGGTGTTACAACACAGGAGAGTTCGTTGTAGGGGAAACAGAAAATAGAACTTTCCGCTGACATGACTACGACAGAACCAATTGACTAAGCTCACAAGATACCAACCATTCAGCAGCTTCACAAGCCCAAGGGGCTGACATGTACAAGGATCAGGCTCTGGATGCAGGCACCCTGGGTTGCCTGGTTCCTGTGCTCAGCTGTGCCCTCCCCATTGAGGTCCCTGAACTCCAATTTCCTTATCTGAATACTTAGGGTTGCTGTAAGGAGTACCTTAAAGAACAATGGTAAAAGCCTTGACCAACGTGTGTTCAATTAATGCTGTAGACAGATGGTGGCCTGCTGGCTTTCCTCTTAGGCTATCTTGCTGAATCCTTCTACTTTAATTGAAGCTCATCAGACCCTCATTTTGCAGATGAGGGTGAAAGATAAACCACTTGATGGGTAAGTGGTCGAGTCAGCTGGTAAAACCCACCTGTGCCCTTTCTTATACCATGAGGCATCACTCACAATGCCCAGCACACAGTAAGGAGTTCAATAAAAGCTGATTCCTCTTGTGGGAGCCTTGGTAATTTGGGAAGAGGCTAGTTGCACCGGGTCACCCAATACCTGAAGGAGCAAGCTTGAGAGCAAGGGTTCAAGAAGGTTCTGCAGGAAGGAGGGCAACCAAGCGATCACTGAGTTTTGCGCTTCAGTTTAACCACAGGACGAAAGGGAAGGAAGCACCTAACAACTCAGGTCTATTTCCAAAGAGAAGAAAGGGGCACCACCTCCCTTTCTCATGCATTTGAAAGCACGCAATTTCCAGTGTTTAAAAAAAAATTCCAACATAGACTGCACCCCCCCTCCCAGCACTTCCCCAGTCCTAGCCCCCACCTCAGGAATTCCTAGTCAGGGACCCCTTTAGGGTTACAAAGGTGATTCAGAATCTGATAAAACACAGAACACCTCAGGTGGAAAATGAATGCCCAAGCTGCCAGATGGGAAAGAGGACTTCTGAGTTTTCGCTTTGCTTTAAGCCAATTTCCTGAGACTTAAGGCCATGCCCCAAGTCACACATGTGAAAGCAGAACAAGGCGGATTTCTGCAGACCAAAAGCGATGCTGGCAAAATGCTTCCACTAGCCCATTTTTTTGGGTTTTTCCTACAAGGGAAGGGGACTTGCCCAGTTGGAAACAGTTTGAGAGTTTTTTGGCCAGGGATGGGTACAGGGCTATCCATAATTCTTTCCTAATCAGACTGGCCCAATGCCCAAAACCTTTGTCTAAAGAGATACCTGCCCACATTTTTTAGGGGGGGAGGGAGGGGATCACAATCTCAAAGAGGCATTTTGTTTGCTAGAACACCTACAGAAAGCTGTTAGCCTCCAAAGCTACTACCACCAACCAGATGAACCGACTGCCTCACCCAGACCCCCCCCCCTTCCCTTCTTCTCGTGTTTTGAAGTTTATTTTCCCACATTCAGCCTTGAATTCTTTCCTTCCTTCCCCTGCAGCAGCAGAAGAGCAGCTAAGAGTGAAACACTTAAGACCAGCTCTATTTCTTTGCATCCCCGCTGGCCCTCATCCCCTCCGAACAAAGCCCTAGAGCAAACTAAACAACTCTTTCTCCAGAGGAATTGTTTCCTCAAGGGAAATTATAAAGTGACCCCCTCCCCAACACACACACAGGGCACCCATCCTGGAATGGCTGCTACTAGGAACTAAATCCACCAACTACTTTCCAAAGTTCATCCTCCCCATCAACCACAGTTCCCATTGGCCCCACCCGGAAACAGCTACAGGGCTAGAAACTTTGCCCACTTACATCCAACATGCAACCTGTGGCCTAAATCTCCCCCTTCCAATGGACCCTGAGCACGCATGTCTTTAACTGCCCAGCTGCCAGAAGGCACCTATAAGGGCTCACTTGTGCGAATACCATGGATTAAAAGAGTACCCAGCAAGACCACCTTCCTGTTCTCCAGTGCTTTCAAAAACTGTCCAGGCCAGGAAGGATGGATGAAAGCAGACTAGTTCCCATTGACATATGGGGAAACCAAGGCAGGAACAATGAGAGGCAGTAAGACAGCCATAAAGTATTGGGAGACTGCTAGACTAAGAGCTATTTCTCATCAACCCTCCTTTCTGGCATCTTTCATCTCAAGAGAAATAACCCCTTGGACAATCTACCCCTACTTTACAATCCAGGCTAATCTACAAGTCACTGACTCCTACCCTGGTCCTGGCTGTTCCATTGGTGGGAGGTCATTAGTGCTGAATGAGAAGGGTGGATGATTGAGACTAAGAGCCGAAGTCTCGAACTGGGGTGGAAGTCCTCCCAAAACTGTTTGTCAGGATGGTTAGCCTGGCAGTTAATCCCAGTGAGGTCAATGCCATCCATCGCACATATGCACCAAAAGATAAGAGGCTCCCCATGCCAACACAAAATACCTCCCCATCACCAAAATTCTGCAACCCTTTCTCATTTGCCATCAAAGAGGGACTCCCGGGTTCTGTTCTTTTACTCAACCAGCTACTTTCAAAAAGTTTGACTTTAAGCCCTTGGGGGATGTCAGCCTTCTCAAAGGCCTGAGGGCTTCCTCCTCGTTCCAGCCACCAGCCGCAGTTCCGCAGGGTCTCGACAGAGTCCCTAAATTTCTGCAAAATCTTGCGGGGAATGGGGGATCCCTGTCCAGGCTCCGGCCGGGGGACTCTCTCGCAGCTTCAGCAGGTCTCATTCCGAAAAGCCGGTCGGGCGCTGCACTGGCCGGCGAGCTGGGAGGTGGAGACGCGAGGGGGTGGCACCCGGCTTGGCTCCCGAACTCCGGGAGTGTCTCCAAGGAAAGATAAACGCTTTTATCCACCCCACAGCCTCCCTCCAAGGAGGGAGGCACCCGCACACCCACACCGAGCCAGCGGCGGGTCCTGGTTCACGCGAGGGTCAAGCCGGGAGGGAGTTCTCTGAGCAAACCCGCATCCAGAGCATGGGCGCGTGGGCGACTCCAGGGTCCCCGGGGGAGCTATAGATCCCAGTAGCCCGGCACCCGGTAAAAAATCCTGTCACACCCCCTCCCCCCAGGACTACCCATAGAGACTAAGAGTCATCCAGAGATGTGAGGGGCTTCCCTTGAGCACCCCTAATGCTCCTGCCAGGTCTAGGTGTGTTTATAGGGGTACCGGCGGCGGCTCACCTCCAGAATCTTGTCAAGGCCCTCCTGGCCCAAGCACGGAAACTCTTTGAGAAGATGCGTCCTTTGCGTATAGTAGTTATTTTTGGCTTCTTTCCAGTGCGGCTCTTCGAGCACCTCGAAGATCGCCGCCCCGATGGCCAGGTAGAAGATGATGGCCGAGGTGAGCAGAGGGCCCCGGTCCACCATGGCTCCCGAGCGGCCGCCGCCTGGAGAAAGCCTCCCTTAGCCTCAGAGGCTCCCCGTCCACCCGCCCTCCAGCCTCTGGAAACAGCTGTTTGAATTTGGAGCTCCGCATGCGCAGTACCTCGTCCCCCCGGGCGCCGATCCCCCCGACAAACTCGCTACTCCAAGTCGGGCCCCGGAGCGCGGGGAACTGTGCGGGGACTAGCGCACGCGGCGGGGCGGGCGGCCACCCGCGCGGCTAAGGGGCTGCCCTGGATCGCGGGGGCGAAGAGTTGGGGGAACTCTGGGCCAGACTCAGGGGAGACACGTGCGCCCGCCGTCCGCGCCCAACTAGCAGTGAGCGCCGCGCTCGCCCCGGCGCGCCTCTTTAATCAGCGCGGGGCCAGCCCTGCCCGCCCGCCCGCGCCAGACCCCCTCGGGGCGGGGTCCCCCAGCACCGCCCCCCTCGAGGCCCCGCCCCTCGCGGGCTCCGCGCGGGCCTGGAGTCAGGGCGCGGGGCGCGCGGGGAGGCGAGCCCTGCGCCGGGTAAATTCCCGGGGGCCGCCGCCAGGGGAGGCTGCGCGGCCCGCACTGCCGGAGGAGCTGCGCGCGGGATGGGGGCGCGCGCTCTCCGCGCTGGTGCGGTCACTGGGGCGAGCGCACCCAATGCCGGGGGTCAGGAAGTCATTACTGTTGCATTTTTATTCTAATCCAGTTTTCACGTACGGATGTTTCTGCGACGAACGCTGGCGACGCAGTCTCTTCCCCGCGCCTTGCTAGGAGCCTGGGAAAAGGGTATTAGAAAGGGACTCTAACCCAGCCACCAAGGCTTGACTCCCTGGCGCCCCAGTCTCACCTGTCTTGGGGAGACCCCCACATCCGGAAAAGGTGGGGGCTGCTGGGTTCGCGACTTCTCCCCTCCTTCTGCCGCTGTAACTCTAGTGGAAATACTTGACATCTTTCGTACCCCCAAGTCTATTTAAAATTGCAAACTCCACCCCCCCCATCACCTTTTGGCCTCTTTTTTTTTTTTTTTTGAGCATTAAATAACTTCACTTCATTTGTTTACTCTGTCGCCTTCCAACACAGTATAAAACGTGAACTGGGCAAGGTGGGGATTCTGGATAGCTACATAGTAAATGTTCAATATAAGTTTTTTTTAATATATTTTATTTTATATAATTCTTACAGCATTTTTCATGTTTGCACAATGTATGCAATACCCACCCCCCCTTATTTTGGCCCTAATCCCTCCTCTGCTCCCCCTCCCCCCGTTAGTGTGTCTCTGGTTTATGGTTGCTTGTTGATTTTGATTTTTTCTTTATTATAATTAGTCCGTTCAATAAGTATTTACGCAACAAAGGGGTGAATAGATTTGTCAACATCACGCCCAGGATCTTTCTCCTCACCTTGCTACCACTCAAGTGATGACACTCCTGGCTGCCCTCCATCCTTGGATCCTAAGCAGCTTGTTGGGTTTGTTTAGCTCAACCTCTCAACCAGCGAAAGCCAGAAACTGAAAGGGGCACACTGTCTCCAGGGCTCAGCACCGCGGGGTGTTCCTGAGCCGCTCAGGTGGGTCTCCGCGGGCCGGCGAGGCAGCCCACCTTTCTCTTCTCCTCGCGGGAGGGGTGGGGTGTGGTCGCTCAGGTGTCCAGAGTTGGAGCAGTTTTTACTTGGGAGGGTGGGGGTGCGGTATCTCTGGTATCTCCAAATCAGGCTGGAGCAGAGGGGATAGGCATGCAGGATGGAAAGGTTGATGTGGGCTTGTGGATGTTGGGTTTCTCTGTGCCACCTGGTGCTGTCCCCAGGTGGCAAAGCAGGAAGCTCCGAGGCCCCACGTTTCCTGACTCGTTTCCTGACTCTGCGCCCCTGAAGTCTCCTTAGGAGCCCCCTGGATCCAGGCTCATCTTGGACAAGGTCTTGGGGAGGCTTTCTGTGGAGACCACTCTTTCCGCACGCAGGCTGGGTCCCCTCACCCACCCGATATAGACCCCTCTTCTCTAGCCGCAGCCCATCTCCCATCTACTCCCCACCACCTACTCTCTACCTGCGTGTGGCCTGCACCCCAAACTCTGCAGTTCTACCCTCCAGGCCCCAGCCTGTGCGAGGCTCCCCTCCCCCTACGGAGAAAGTCGGGTAAGAACAGTTCACCCAGGGAAGGGTGGGGGCAGTTTAAGAGGCCACAGGCTCTCTCTTTGTTTGGAAAATTCTCTACCATTCCTCTCCCACCTCCGGTCTGAGTTCTCTTCCTAAGAAAATAAAGAGCCTCTTCCCATTCCAGTCTCACTGTTTCACAAAAACACTGCCGAGTATTTTACAATGAATTGGTTTTTATTTGAAGTTTTTGTAATTTCTACTTTCTCTGTTTTTCTGCTTTGCCCACCTCTCCATTTCTGGTCCCTTTCTTTCTTGCCTCTCAGTGTCCAATGTCATTCTCACTCTCTCATCCTCTGCTATTCCCCATGCATTACCTTCCCATATTTTCCAAACCCCTTAACAAAACTCTCCATTTTCCCTGCTTCTGCTCTGTCTCCTTTCACATACAACCTGCTTCTCCTCCCCTTCTCTGCCCCTTCCCACCCTCCTTAGCCCCATCCGCACATTGGGATCAACAGTTTCCTTGGAGATCATGAGCTATGCCCAATGGGGGGGCTTTGAGAAATATAAACTATTGAAACAGGTGAATGTCTAGACAACTTGAGTCCGAAGGATGGAAAAAGAAGTTTAACTGGCAGTGGGGGTGGGGTGTGCTTTGTGTTAGTTGCAGATAAATAAAACCATTCCAGTAGGTTTATTATTATGTTTATTTATCCACCAGTGACTGATTATCCTTTCAATGTGCTATCTTTTGAAAAGCTTTGAGGAATGTTTCACCACATAGCCACCGACCTTTTTTTTAGCATTACCTGGATAATTAGCAGAGCCAATCAGTTGTTTCCCCCAAGGTCAGGCTTCCGAGCTTGTGTCACAAAAGAAGCCATACCCACCTTTGCTTCTTCCTCAGTTCTGTTAGGTTGAAGGGTTTATATACCTCTAGTGGATGAACTTCTGATAATCCTTTCAGAACGCTATGACACAGCCTTTTATTTCTGTTCAGGAACATTTCTTTTTGTTCTGTTTCAGAATTTCCAGGGGAATAAATAGCCTCCCTGTGAAATTCCCATGTTCTCTAAGGAACCCTATAAAAAGCCATTTATCGCAGAAAGCGGTTCAATATCATCTCAATCACTTGAAAACCTTGTTTCCTTTTTAAAAAAGTTTTATAGTTCTCAAAGCACAAGGTCGAAAGTTTTTATTTTCATTTTTGTTCTCCTTGATTGCTTGACAGACAGTATAAAATGCCTTATAAAGGAACTTGTGTTTGAAAGGCATATCAATTACTGTATAAACTTGCTCTATTTCTAACAGATCATTTTAAAACTGGGGGAAAGATCTACTAAATTTTCATGTCTACGAATCCTCTACTTATTCAATTTCAAGGTTTCTGAGTGGTAAATTCAATGCACATGATAAGGCAACCTTCTTGATTTATGCCAGGAAAAACAAAATAAAATCACAAAGCAATGACATTAAGGTAAAAGAGAAGTAATAGTGGTCTATGAAAGGTTCGGCGCGGTAAAGACAAGGAGAGCCAGGCTCCTGCATTCCGGCCTGCTGCATGGACCTTTCAGTCTATACATACAATGGGATATTATTCAGCCTTCTTTTAAAAAAGGAAATTCTGTCACATGCTACAACTTGGATGAGTTGAGGTCATTGGTCATCATGCTAGATAGAAAAAAGGGCAGATACTGCCTGATCCCCTCTTATGGCAGATCTCAAAATTAGCCCAATTCAGACACAGAAAGCTGCAGGGACGGCGGGTGGGGAGGGTGAGAGGCTGTTCAACAGGTATTAGAGTCTTAATTTTTTTTTTAAGATTTATTTATTTATGCATACAAGAATTGGGGTACAGGTCAGAGGTGCGGGGGTTGAAGGGAACTGTTACAGGGCAGAGAGAGGGGCAGCCCAAACCCCGCAAACCCGCCTATTCTAAATGGGTTCTGCCATCCGCCGCATCAACACAAAACACATGAGACTTTCATGGGAAGGAACTTTAATACAATTTGGAAACAATACAGGAAAGGCAAAGAATCTAGTTTCTAAATCAAGAACCCAAAGTTACCCGTCCCCTCGTGGGTAAAAGTCCATCCAAATGGGATTGGCCCAGAGCAAGGCCCCAGAGCCTGCCACAAGTCTAAAGCATCTTCCAGTGGGGACCCACAGAAAAGAGTCAGAAACAACCAGACAAGCCCGGAAGGAAAAGAGCAAAATCAAAATCAAGATAAAAGCTGCCACTGACACCTCCCCACGGGTCTCACCCACATCTGTGTCACCCAGTCCACGACCAAAAGGCAAGCGCAGATTCTTCACGTGTCTCTAGGCTCCATGCGCCTCCTCCAGGTCTCCTTCTGGCTCCATCCTGCTTCCTTCCTTCCTCAGTCTCCTCTGCAGCTTCTCCTCTCCCTGCTCAGCTCCACCCTCCATTTGGGTGAGGCAGAGAACCTGGAACCTCCCCCTTTCCTGGGGACCACCCTGTTACAGAACCACCAGAGACAGAACAGGCAAATTGACTGAAATACACTGCTGAGGGGAGCAGTGGGTGAGACAGGAGAGCTCTGCTGCGCTATGTGGGTTACCTCCCTGGCAGGTCTGGAATCAAGAAATCCATCTGCAGAGGCTGTGAACAGCTTCAGAGGGCAGTGCCCAACCCCTTGCGCCACCAGGGAGGCCCCTAGAGTTTCAGTTTTATAAGATAAAATAAAAGTCCCAGGGATCTGTTATATAAAGTGCATATAGTAAAAAACAACTGGACTTTCCTCTCAAAATTTGTAAAAATGTAAAAGTTACCATTTTTGTGTTTTTTATCACAATTTTAAAAAGCAGTGAAAATAGAACTTGTAAATTCAATGTAAGATATGGGAAGATTTTTTTTAAATTTATTTATGCATACAAGAATGGAGGTGGAGGCCAGAGATGTGGGGATGAGAGGATTCACCAGAGACAGAGTGGAGGTGGGGGGCAGAATGGGCAGATTGACTGAAATACACTGCTATGGGGAGCAATTGGTGAGACAGGAGAGGTCTGCTGCACCATGTGTGTCAGCTCCCTGGCTGCAGTGGCTGCTGATAGCTTGATAGTGCTGAGACTTAACCCCTCGTGCCACCAGGGATGTCCAGTAAGATATTTGA